ATCACATTAGGACGAAATGTAACAGCTAAAGAAGTCTGTATTTACTTCATTTACAGAGGACTTACGTATATCGCCCGAGAACCCATCGACAAGGAGTCTGTATTTACTTCATGTACAGAGGACTTACGTATATCGCCCGAGAAACCATCAACAAGGAGTCTGTATTACCTTCATGTACAGAGGACTTACGTATATCGCCCGTGAAACCATCGACAAGGAGTCTGTTTACTTCATGTACAGAGGACGTACGTATATCGCCCGAGAAATCATCGACAAGAAGTCTGTATTTACGTCATGTACAGAGGACTTACGTATATCGCCAGAGAAACCATCGACAAGGAGTCTGTATTTACTACCTGTACAGAGGACTTACGTATATCGCCCGTGAACCCAGCGACAAGGAGTTTGTTTACTTCATGTACAGAGGACTTACGTATATCGCCCGAGCAACCATCGACAAGGAGTCTGTATTTACTACCTGTACAGAGGACTTACGTATATCGCCCGTGAACCCAGCGACAAGGAGTTTGTTTACTTCATGTACAGAGGACTTACGTATATCGCCCGGGAAACCATCGACAAGGAGTCTGTATTTACTACCTGTACAGAGGACTTACGTATATCGCCCGTGAAACCATCGACAAGAAGTCTGTATTTACTTCATGTACAGAGGAGTTAGGTATATCGCCCGTGAAACCATCGACAAGAAGTCTGTATTTAATTCATGTACAGAGGACTTACGTATATCGCCCGAGAAAACATCGACAAGAATTCTGTATTTACTACCTGTACACTTCATGTACAGATGAGTTAGGTATATCGCTCGTGAAACCATCGACAAGCAGTCTGTATTTACTACCTGTACAGAGGTCTTACGTATATCGCCTGAGAAACCATCGACATGAAGACTACTAACTTCATGTACAGATGACACTACGAAAAAATATAACAGCTTAATCACACTAGGACAAAATATAAGAGCTTAATCACACATTGACGGACAGAGCTTAACAGCTTAATCACAAAAGGATAAAATGCAACAACTTAATCACACTAAGACAAAATATAACAGTTTAATCACACTGGGACAAAGTGTAACAGCTTAAACACACCACGATAAAATGTAACAGCTTCATCACATTAGGACGAAATGTAACAGCTAAAGAAGTCTGTATTTACGTCATTTCACACTGGGACAAAGTGTAACAGCTTCATCACACTGGGAAAAAATGTAACAGTTTATTCACACTGGGACAAAGTGTAACAGCTTCATCACACTGGGAAAAAATGTAACAGTTTATTCACACTGGGACAAAGTGTAACAGCTTCATCACACTGGGAAAAAATGTAACAGTTTATTCACACTGGGACAAAGTGTAACAGCTTCATCACACTAGGACAAAATATAACAACTTAATCACACTAAGACAAAATATAACAGCTTCATCACATTAGGACGAAATGAAACAGCTAAAGAAGTCTGTATTTAATTCATGTACCGAGGACTTACGTATAGCGCCCGAGAAACCAACGACAAGGAGTCTGTATTTAATTCATGTACAGAGTAGTTAGGTATATCGCCCGTGAAGCCATCGACAAGAAGTATGTAATTACTTCATGCACAGAGGAGTTACGTATATCGCCCAAGAAACCATCGACAAATATCGCCCGTGAAACCATCGACAGGAGGTCTATTAACTTCATGTACAGATGACTTACGTATATCGTCCGAGAAACCATCGACAAGAAGTCTACTAACTTCATGTACAGATGACTTACGTATATCGTCCTAGAAACCATCGACAGGAGGTCTATTAACTTCATGTACAGAGGGCTTACGTATATCGCCCGTGAAACAATCGACAAGAAGTCTGTATTTACTTCATGTACAGAGGAGTTACTATATCGCCCGTGAAACCATCGACAAGAAGTTTGTATTTACTTCATGTACAGAGGACTTACCTTTATCGCCCGAGAAACCATCGACAAGAAGTCTCTATTTACTTCATGTACAGAGGACTTACGTAGATCGCCCGTGAAACAATCGACAAGAAGTCTGTATTTGCTTCATGTACAGAGGACTTACGTATATCGCCAGAGAAACCATCGACAAAGAGTCTGTATTGTACAGAGGACTTACGTATATCGCCCGTGAAAACATCGACAGGAGGTCTATTAACTTCATGTACAGAGGGCTTACGTATATCGCCCGAGAAACCATCGCCAAGAAGTCTCTATTTACTTCATGTACAGAGGAGTTACTATATCGCCCGTGAAACCATCGACAAGAAGTTTGTATTTACTTCATGTACAGAGGACTTACGTATTTCGCCCGAGAAACCATCGACAAGAAGTCTGTATTTGCTTCATGTACAGAGGACTTACGTATATCGTCCGAGAAACCCTCGACAAGAAGTCTGTATTTACTTCATGTCCAGAGGAGTTACGTATATCGCCCGTGAAACCATCGACAAGAAGTCTCTATTTACTTCATGTACAAAGTACTTACGTATATCGCCCGAGAAACCATTGACACGGAGTCTGTATTTACTTCATGTACAGAGGAGTTACGTATATCGCCCGAGAAACCATCGCCAAGAAGTCTCTATTTACTTCATGTACAGAGGACTTACGTATATCGTCCGAGAAACCCTCGACAAGAAGTCTGTATTTACTTCATGTACATAGGAGTTACGTATATCGCCCGTGAAACTATCGACAAGAAGTCTGTATTTACTTCATGTACAGATGACTTACCTATATCGCCCGAGAAACCATCGCCAAGAAGTCTCTATTTACTTCATGTACAAAGTACTTACGTATATCGCCCGAGAAACCATTGACACGGAGTCTGTATTTACTTCATGTACAGAGGACTTACGTATTTCGCCCGAGAAACCATCGACAAGAAGTCTGTATTTACTACCTGTACACTTCATGTACAGATGACTTACGTATATCGCCCGTGAAACCATCGACAAGAAGTCTCTATTTACTTCATGTACAGAGGACTTACCTATATCGCCCGAGAAACCATCGCCAAGAAGTCTCTATTTACTTCATGTACAGAGGAGTTACTATATCGCCCGTGAAACCATCGACAAGAAGTTTGTATTTACTTCATGTACAGAGGACTTACGTATATCGTCCGAGAAACCCTCGACAAGAAGTCTGTATTTACTTCATGTCCAGAGGAGTTACGTATATCGCCCGTGAAACTATCGACAAGAAGTCTGTATTTACTTCATGTCCAGAGGAGTTACGTATATCGCCCGTGAAACTATCGACAAGAAGTCTGTATTTACTTCATGTATAGAGGACTTACGTATATCGCCCGAGAAAACATCGACAAGAAGTCTGTATTTACTACCTGTACACTTCATGTACAGATGACTTACGTATATCGTCCGAGAAACCATCGACAAGAAGTCTGTATTTATTTCATGTACAGAGGACTTACCTATATCGCCCGAGAAACCATCGACAAGAAGTCTCTATTTACTTCATGTACAAAGTACTTACGTATATCGCCCGAGAAACCATCGCCAAGAAGTCTCTATTTACTTCATGTACAGAGGAGTTACGTATATCGAACCATCGACAAGAAGTCTGTATTTACTTCATGTACAGAGGACTTACCTATATCGCCCGAGAAACCATCGACAAGAAGTCTCTATTTACTTCATGTACAGAGGACTTACGTATGTCGCCCGAGAAACCATCGACAAGAAGTCTGTATTTTCTTCATGTACAGAGGACTTACGTATATCGCCCGAGGAACCATCGACAAGAAGTCTCTATTTACTTCATGTACAGAGGAGTTACGTATATCGCCCGCGAAACCATCGACAAGAAGTCTGTATTTACTTCATGTACAGCGGACTTACGTATATCGCCCGAGAAACCATCGACAATAAGTCTGTATTTACTTCATGTACAGAGGACTTACGTATATCGCACGAGAAACCATCGACAAAGAGTCTGTATTTACTTCATGTACAGAGGACTTACGTATGTCGCCCGAGAAACCATCGACAAGAAGTCTGTATTTTCTTCATGTACAGAGGACTTACGTATATCGCCCGAGGAACCATCGACAAGAAGTCTCTATTTACTTCATATACAGAGGACTTACGTATATCGCCCGAGAAACCACCGACAAAGAGTCTGTATTTACTTCATGTACAGAGGAGTTACGTATATCGCCCGAAAAAACATCGACAAGAAGTCTGTATTTACTTCATGTTCAGAGGACTTACGTATATCGCCCGAGAAACCACCGACAAAGAGTCTGTATTTACTTCATGTACAGAGGACTTACGTATGTCGCCCGAGAAACCATCGACAAGAAGTCTGTATTTTCTTCATGTACAGAGGACTTACGTATATCGCCCGTGAAACCATCGACAGGAGGTCTATTAACTTCATGTACAGATGACTTACGTATATCGGCCGAGAAACCATCGACAAGAAGTCTGTATTTCCTTCATGTACAGAGGACTTACGTATATCGCCCGTGAAACCATCGACAAGAAGTCTGTATTTACTTCATGTACAGAGTAGTTAGGTATATCGCCCGTGAAACCATCGACAAGAAGTCTGTATTTACTTCATGTACAGAGGACTTACGTATATCGCCCGAGAACCATCGATAAGGAGTCTGTATTGTCTTCATGTACAGAGGACTTACGTATATCGCCCGAGAAACCATCGACAATAAGTCTGTATTTACTTCATGTACAGAGGACTTACCTATATCGCCCGAGAAACCATCGACAAGAAGTCTGTATTTACTTCATTTACAGAGGACTTACGTATATCGCCCGAGAAACCATCGACAAGAAGTCTGTATTTACTTCATTTACAGAGGACTTACGTATATCGCCCGAGAAACCATCGACACGAGGTCTGTTTTTACTTCATGTACAGAGGACTTACGTATATCGCCCGTGAAACCATCGACAATAAGTCTGTATTTACTTCATGTACAGAGGACTTACGTATATCGCCCGAGAAACCATCGACAAGGAGTCTGTAGTTGTCTGCTTCACTAGCGATCTGGAACACAGAGTACACAGCGATTCCTACTGTTCCATCCCAGGCCTCCAAATCAATTCGGAGTTTGTACGGTGAAAACGCGACTAATGAATGGATGTTGTCATTTCCTGAAAAAACACGAAACATGTCTTTAAAATGTATAACATTTAAAACAATATTGCTGCATTACCCTTAAGTAACGTGGAATCGAACGTTATTAGTTCTGTTCCTAAAACAATTTATCGAAAAGCAACGAATGGTTGCAGGGATATTTCACACATTGATGTTCTGTTGTTTTAGCAGATGCACATCGCCGTTTCGTAAATGGTTCATGTTGGTATTTTTGGCAGATAATTGTCGGTTAACATAGCTGATTGATGTTTATTTACTAAGCGAAGAGGTTTTTCTATCAAGTTACCTTTGTTTGTTTACTAAGTTGACAGTTTTTGTTGATGTAACTAAAAGTTCTTTTCTTAGCTGATAACTGTTTGCTTACCCACCTGATCATTGTGATTTTTATTTAGCTTAAAGTTGATATTGTACTTATTGGACCTATACTCCTACAGACATGTGCATCATTTCATTAAATCCAGCTAGGATTTTGAACGGTGTTTTTAATTTCTTGAATCTGTGTCTATGTGAATGTTATATATATCTACTTCATGTTTATGCCTCTTACCATTGTGTCATGTTATTGTAAAGATATAATAGAAACTTTACTTATTTTACAACAATTATGAAACAAGTTATTTCATCTTATATCAACCACTATTGTTGGCCCAGATTTTAGCGCGCGGGGGTCTTATTTTGGAAAGAAACTGGAGTACCCGAAGAAAACCCACGTGGTCGGGCAGGTGACCATATACTTTTCCTGTCTGATCGGGGAATCGAACCCCAGCCGTCTTGGTGAAAGGCAAGTGCGCTATCCACTGCACCACCCGACCAACCCTTAATTGGTAATGTATGACGGGAGATAGTTATTTGTTAACTTAACTTGTAGCTGTTACCTAGCCAAAAGTTTCCGTTGAGATCACCAAATCCGGTTTTGTATTCGTTCCAGTTTCTATAGAAATCGATGTCGCTGCTTTGTCGATTGTGTATCACCTGTTAAAAATTAAATTTGATTATTAGTTTAATTATTTATTTCTGTTGTTGAATATACAAACTTAAAAGAATATGAAAAATTGTCATGAAATGTTAAAAATAAAATAAATTTTATGTTTTCACATAGTCTTCAAATAGTTACAACATTAACATACAAGAACAATTACGAACCAACAATTCGTCCTTAAAGACAACACAAACTGAGGAGACGTCCGAGGAACGTTATAAACACCTACAAATGACTATTTCAGAAGTGTTCTTTCAAATTTTCGAGGATTTGCGAAATAAAAATTTGGTTTCTGACTTACATTCCAATGTCCATTGTCTGTGTCCATGTCACAAAACACGTCGAAACTGTTTCCCGTGATCGTTGTTATACGGTGGATGTTTGAACTACAGGTAGGATCGACATCGGAACAGTCCCTGGGACCTACAGGTAACATAAAAACAATAGTTAATATCAATAAGCGAGTAACAAGGTTTGTGTCGAGTTAATTAAAAGTAAGCTGGTGGCTATTATTTTGTTGAGTAAATAAAACATGAGCAATTAGCCATCTGTTTGTAGGCTGTAGTGCATCAATGTTTTACTTATACACAAACACTGTACTATTAAACTTGTCACAACCGTCCGCTTCCTTTGTACATACTTTTATATATACATATTTCAAAATTGAAGATATGTCATCTTTTATTTGACCCCTAAAAAACTAAAACAAAACATATAGGGTGCCATGATAACGAGCATACACTTTCTTCAGTGCAGTTGAAGCACTTTCAAACTTGAATAAGAAGGGATGTTGTTATGTTGCTCAGGAAGAAAGGAAAGTTGACGATCATGAAACTAAAGTCGTTTTGTTTATCATTGTGTTTTGTGAAATTACCATTATTTCATGAAGTGAGAGAATCACATAACTATGTAGTGTTCTGGGGAATACATTAAGGTTTCTCGAATCCATTGTTTCAGGATAACACTTTTTCGATATATCTGAATATAAAATACAGAGAGGGGCTAGTAATTTCTCTCTGTTCTTCAATAACAATTGTATGCATTCATCTTCAAACAAATTCAAACAAAATATTTAAAACAACATGTTAACTGACTCAAACAAAATATTTAAAACAACATGTTAACTGAATATAAATAAACATGAATAAATATATTAGCATACAGCGGTGTCTCAATAAGCAAGCCGCATTCTTCCCTGCAAAAGTGGCTGGAATTGAGAGGGCCGAATTACTGGGACAGCACTGTCCACAGTCCCACTAGTGGTCACTTGATTAATAAATCTGAACTCTATCATTTAACATTTCTGTTTAGTAATTGCCGAACCCACGAAAAGTGCAGTTTTGAAAAGATGGCATGAACAATGTGAAATAAAGAACAATACTTAGAACGTAGACGTCCCCGGATGTACTGACGATAGTTGTCTGATCATGAAGCGTGCAGAAGCCAGATGTCTCGTCGTATGAAGCAACCTTTCTTTGACTGGTCGACCCAAACACCAAACAATGCGATAAAGATGGTGCTGTGGTTATGATCCCTCCAGTTAAAGGGAGGTAACAAGTGTCCACGGCCGGTAGTCGCACCCAGTTCTGTTGAACAGGAACAGCTTGTAATTCTGTGCCAATAACTGAAATTAAAATAAACACATTCTTCCATTAAGGACTCGCACAACTAAACCAGCCAATCAGCAAGTGTTTTACACGATTGTAATCCCTACCTTAAATTTTCTCCGGTTAAAAACAGTGCCTCTGAATAATTTAAATGGGTAATTTTTGACATATATTTCATGAATGGAATCTGCAGATATTTAACTTTAGAGAAAAGTATAGTTTAAGTAGAATTTAATATGTGATGGCGGATTGATATGGGGGCAAATGTCAGGGTGTGTTCCCGTCCCACTTCACCGATTTGGCTTGTAGCGCTCTTATGTGCGATTAAACCCACACACACAAATACCGCCTTTTGAAGTCTTTGCCATGTATGTATCTATGAATATAGACAGTTATCAATTATTATCAGTGTTGAACTTCAAATAGTGAAGCTGTTAGCTCAAAAGCTAAGTAATGACATATAGTACATGATTTAGCCCTTAATGTATGGAAGTCAAATTTCTTTGAAAATTTGACTGATCATATGCTGTTTATTGATTATTTTGATAACTTAGTTATGATTTTGAGTATTTATTAATTGCACTAAACTGTCTATTTGACTTTGCTTTGATTTCGTGTACTGATATTTCTGGACATCTCCATAGCCTCTTGCTGCTGTCAGATCGGGTCAGAGAATTTGTAGTGTGTTTCTTTGTGTTGACGTTGTGATAATATTTTACTTTTCATTTTGTCGTTGTTGATAGAATGCAAATGTAATTTGGAAGTTGATAAGCCATAACCTATCAACACTATTTACATACAACGACAATATCAACAAAATTAATTTCAACCGCTACCAACTATCACGAAGTCAATCATCTGTTTTGTTTCTTTGTCCAGGGGGACGAATCAACGGATACGAATGACTGATTGTCATTGTCGCAGGCTAAAAACTGGAGGCAGCTTGCCCTGAAAAGTGTTTTGAAATTCATAACTAATTATGTAGATATTATCAAAATAGTTAATAGTCTGTATATTAAGTATTGATTATCTTCAGTACAATGGGTTAAAATATAGTCTATGTAATTGTGAAGGAGGGTATTGTACTCAACTCTCTAAATATAGATCGTCACCGACCGTACTTACCCGGTACATTATTATAGTGAAAATGTCGTTAATTAGCTTCGGCAAGCTTAGGTCATGTATTGGTAAAAAAAAGCAACAAAGAACTACCGAGCTCAAATAGAAATTTCTCTATCTACATATATAAAGTGGGTAGTCTCACAGAAATAGTGGAATAAGCTAGAAATAAAATATGTTCACATTAACACATTCAAGATAAGGGATAGCGGTTTACTACTTCGGCTAAGTATCAACGTAATGCATGATTGCCCTCCAGCTGGTTAGTAATAGTGCTTGACATGTTTACCAATAGTGTTCATAATGATAATAAACACATTTTATTTACAATTGTTATGTAATTGAAATCCTTTAATATTCCAATTTGTAAATATAAAGTATTTTGATATAATATCATCAAGTGAGAAGACATTGAATAAACGCTTTGTAAAACCCTTTTATGGACGGATTATGTGACTTTGTCATGTCTGATATATTGTGAAATGAAGTAATAAAGTTAATTTCGTATAAACTCTCACGAAGCACTATAGAGAGGAAAAGTACAAAACGCGTCGTAGGTCCACGGGCAATACTATGATGAACAGGCAAGCAAAACAAATAAGGCTGCTAACTTTTTATGTTAATGTTTTTTTTTCAGCATTTCTTAATGAAAAGAACTTTGCTAATTATGTTTGCGATTTCTTTTGATTTATACCAAAGAATCATCACCTTTAGTTCAGAAGATGTCGAAACGTGACATAAAAAGTAGGTAGCAAGAGGTCCAGAGACACATCAGACAAGCATCTACAAAGGATATTCCTTAGTGGGGACACTATTTCCATTTCTATAACAACGTTTAATCCTCAAAGTGATGTTTAATACAAAATTGATTTGAGAATTTTCAAACAATTTTGGAGGTCAACCTACTCTGTTTTGGGCCCTTAACCTTAGCTCTCGGTTGGGTCACAAATGGATTTAGACTTAATACTATTTCGTTAGTCCAATAATGATAAATAATAGTCTTTGTTGAAATCTAGGTAATCGTTCTTGAGGAGAGGATCTTTGAAGATTGAAATAAGCTAGTTGCACTATCGCTGCCCCTTAGAGACACATGCAAAATATTAATTTCTTGTATCAATGATTTTAGTTATCATATCTTATTTCGAATCTCTTCAGGAGGATTAGTCTTTAAAAAACATAAGCTCAACTGACATGTTTTCTCAATGTTGACGTTTGACCTCAACGCACTCTGTTTCAGCTTCAACGTTAGAGCCAACCACGAGGACTGATAGTCCACCAGCAAAGTCAGCCATATTGATGCCGAAAATAAACATCAGAAACACGAAGAAATGAAGATCATATTCAAAATTAAGTTTGAAGATGTAGAAAACCAAATAAGTGAACATTTTGCTACATCCTATGGCCACCTGGTCCATTTAGGAGCCCTAAGTGGTACCAGTGGTCAAAGAAAAGTAATACTGTATGTAAAAACTGTTCATAAACGTATGTAGAATACAGTGAAACGGGAAAGGTGTCTATAAAAAAGCGTCAAACGTTAAAAAATCCTATAATTCATTACAATAACTCATATATACTAAAACTGGTGTTTCATGTAAGCCGTGTAAGAACACATTCTAGCTGCCAGGTCCTGCCAACCTTGAGAACTGAAAATCCACCAGCAGGGTCAACCATCTTGTCACCTAAAATAATAACTTGAAACTCGAAGAAAGGAAACACCTATTTGGAAATGTTATCTGGACATTCAGAAAGTCAAACAAAGAAAACGTTTAGGGACTTATTAGTGGTACGAGGTCAGAGGAATGAAAACTCATGCGTTATTGTTTCAAAACATATGCATGATACAGAATATAGTGTCTTGTCACTATTAATAAACTAATTGATTTCTTTTTTCCTTGTCCGAAACATTATTTATCAGAAACATAGAAAACAATAAAAGTGTTAACAATAGACTTAAATCTCACCTGATATCATCGCCATATATAAAAGAACGCCTGTTGGGTTGCGCCGGACTTTCGTAAACGTCATGTTTGACGGTCTTGCTATTTCTGTCGAGAACTGCAGTTGTATCTCCTTTTATATCCAGAGTTTGCCGTCCTTTCGTCTGTAATCTAGATCAATGTCAGAAATACACAGTTGTGCTTTTAAATTATTAACCACACTTGGCACTTTGATGTTTTAATCAGTAAATACTTTACCACATAAGTTTTACTGGTTCATATTTTGATCTATACATCATCATATTATATTAATCGGTCCAGGGAGACCTTTTATCAGTTTTAAAATCAACAAACATGTATCATTTCACGTTTCAAGTTGAATGACCTACGCACAGTTTTGTTGTGACTAACGTCGTTAAGGGAGATGTGAGGATTGTTCATAATTTGTAATGTTCGTAGTCTGTGTTACATGTAACACCATAGTCTGACACTCCATATCTAATAAAGGTTCCCTCTATTTCAATTTTTATGATGGCCGCCGTCAAGAAATATTACTTATAACATAGCGATTTGTTTTACTGGTCACGTGACTTAGGAATAGAACGTCATGTTTCGTTTTCATTCTCAAGTTTCGCCAGTCATGGTGCCTCTCTACAAAAAATGAGTAGGGAGTGTCGCACATGAGTTCCCAATGACCGAATAAGACGAGCACAATGACAGATATGTCTGATAATGTTTGTTGTTGTGTCATGTTTTTATTTTGATATGGTAAAATGATTAATCATGTTTCACCCGGGCTACGTTCTCGTGAAACAACATTTATCGCAAGGAAATAAAGAAACGTGTTTCCCTGCCACAATTGAAATACCTCATCGACACTTTTTATTGACATAAATGATTCGGTGAATCAATCAATTATTCTATTGTAGATTTGTCTTTCTTATATTTTATTTGTAGGCTTCCAACTATCACCCTACAATGAAGGTACATTCCGTTTGGTGTTATTGTGTTGACATGTCGTTCAGGCTTAAATATTAACTTGCGTGCGATATCAACGCGTGTAGTCGGTAGTGTTCCCTGGTAGAATGGTGTCACCGAGGAAGTTTTTTTGTATTTGACAACGAAAACTCAAGTGTTCTATTATTCAGCAGTTTTTGTTTCATCCCATAATACTTTTACGTACGGGTACGTATTGTAAAAAAAGGTCTCAAAACCGCAATCAATATTTTCTCTGGTCTATCCATTAAATTGTTCTTTCAGTAGGTATAAATACTCATCGAAGTGTATGAAAAACACGAAGTCACGTGAGACGGTATCTATATATCTCCAAAATCTATCAAAATTTAATGGGGTAGGCCAACCAGACATTTTTAAGTTTAAAATTTGTACATAGGCTTCAACGGAAAACGAATAAAAACATATTTGACTGACTTTCTGAATGGACTTAAATACATTGTGCTAATTGTAGCCTTTTTGACTATTCCAATGGTGCAGAGACGTTATATGTACAGAGAGCGAAGTCGTTGGATATCGAATATGCCTGTAACTTAAAAAAAAGTCTTTTATGAAAATATCAACTGTAGTCTTCTACGGAGATTCAAGTTAACGCGTTTAATGCTTGGGGACACAACTCTTCAAATCTACAGCTTAATTCCATTGAAATAGCGAACTAGGAATAATGCTACGACAACAAAAATATTTACATTACACTCATTTGAAAAGTAGCCTCGTTTTGTCTTTTAAACATCTTCAGATAAATGACTCTATAGATGATGTATGCTAGGGATAGATCTCTGCAGGTTTGGGGAAGGAATGGTTCTTTCCTTAAGCAGATTCATATGAGAGCCATTCCAAACGTTTTCTTTTGCTTTGTTTTCTAAAAGAGGGAATACAAATTAATATCTAATTATTTGCATAGAGAGAATTAAGATGAGATGTAGATCCAGAAGGGTAGGCGTCTTCCGGTTCATCAACGACACCTGTCAATCTAAGTTAAAGCCAAGCAGTGTCATGTCGTCAAAGCGAGGCCAGGGGTAGAGACAAAGAAGCAACAAGACAAACTAATGAGTAAAATACATCTTCATATCACACAAGGAAATAGCAAACTTCCAAATAAAATCATAATGGCGACCATAAACGTGTCTGTAGTCTCCATCAGCCTGCACCGTTGGAAACCCTGTGATATGAGTGTATCCATGAGCATGCCGGCATAGTTATCGAACACCAGGTCAAGCTTTTATTGACAGGACGTGAAAACCAGGAACTCCAGTCGAGAAAGTGTTTAAGTGTTCCTGTTCTTTCTGTCACTAATTGCCATATGCCCTTACAAATCCATGAAAGAATGTCGGACACCACTGACACAGCGAACTAGCCATTCATTACGAGGTATGGAGTCACCTGCCTGACCGCACGGGATTTACAGAGTGGTCCGGTTTCCTCTCGTGTTAAGATTCCATAGCGCTACCATCCGGGCCAACGATAGTGATTTAAATGTGACTTAGAAATTATTGTTTCATAAGTACTGTAAAATTGAATCCAACGCTTATATAAGTTAGCAACAGTGTTCATAGATCACTAAACTAAGACACAGCTAACAATTAATTTATAAGAAACACTTAAAACCCATATTTAGAAATAAAGTCATAAAGAATTCTTTCAAATGTTTGTAGATTGAACATTCTACGATAGAACACCCTAGTTCCGTAATATATTGGTGATTTGGACGTACATATACAGTAAATTCTGACATTTAAATTATCTATTGAGTATTGAATCAACTTAAACATTTATTTTCAAGATCGTGATCTTCCGTTAACTGCCTGATCCTGCTTATCCTGTTTAAATTTGTTACTAAGGAACATATTCTTAATGCCAAAATAATGAAATTCAATTACACATTAAAATAGTCTATCGCCAAAACATACTATGTACTAAAAGACATTCCAAGTGGATCAGTTTTCAAACAATAATACAAAAAACAAACAAATTCAAAATCTTTAAAAGGAAACCTTTATTTACATTGAATAACTCACTTCATTTTGCATTCAACATAAGATTATTTTTCCTCAAAATGTACAAGAACATTTTCTATTTGATGAAAAGATTCAGCCTTATTCTACAATAAATCAATCTGCGCATTTGCAAGCATCATTTATACAATACAGTCAAGAGATCATGGAATCACAAGCTTTTCTCCATTTAATGCTCTTCCATGTTTTTGTTAATCAATGTTGTCAGAACCACGACACGTACGTTCAACTTAGCTCCATTGTAATTAGAGTTTATAAACCATGGTTTAATTATACATATAAACTAGTTTGCTTCTGTTGTATATAAGGCAACACATGGAATTTATACTGTGTACAAGAATGTTTCAAAGTTTGTTGATAATTAAGTTCCACTTGCTTAAATAATATCAATTCCAAACAATTAAATGTATTGAACTGTGCTTACATCTTTATTGGGTGATAAACTTTGTATTTTTGCGTCATTTTTGTTTATGGCATTTATCATGACGTCATTATGCATTGTTTAGTATGATGTCACCAGCTATTGTATTCTGTTGCTGTCCTTTCAGCAATATATTTACAAATCAATACTCACTCCTTGAAACCATTGAATAAGGTATAAACGCTAGGATGATATTTATTTAACTTTGTTAGACGTTTAGAAAAAAATCCAAATGGATAACGTTCCTGTTCATGAGTTTTTATATTTAATAAAAACCATTTATGTTCCTTCATCGTAACATTTACCACCTGAATATACCATAGCCTAGTTCGGAGATTCAACTTTTACTAAATAATCATGTAACATTCTCTGTAGTTTTTAAAATGTGGTTTAATAGTCTCAGTTGTCTCCCTTGGAATGCTGTTCATATGAACGGCATTACCACAAAACAATAAAAAAAGAATTATTACAAATTAACATGTACTTTTACAGGAATCGATTGATTTTCATTGACGCCACTTGTCATATATTTCACACTTTTCGTATCCGTTTGTCTTTATATTAGATATAAAGGCGTTCAACATAATCTTCAACAAATACAAATATGTAAGGTATCACGTGATCGTCAACAGAGACCTTAACGTTGAACAGCAGGACGTATTTTTTTCAGTTATTCAAATTCAATAATTGTTATGTTTTCGGTAAATTCTCGTGATGAATCCCTCAAATATGTTATCCAGTACGCAATGGTATTGGATATATTCTGCCATGTAGACCAATTTCTCGTGATTATTTTGTGTTAAAAATGGGCTGTATTGAAAAATAAATCTAAAAACTTTTGCGAGAGTACTTTTGTTATAGTCATCTTGGACAGAGTCTTTTTATTTGCATTTAATGGATAAACAATGTCTTAACAATCAAAATTACTTAAAAACAACAGTTAATATAAATTGCTAAGATAAAAAGATCATCATTGTGAACTTTAGAAAAAAACCATAAATTATATATACAACTGTGCATAGATTTTTAATCAATATTAATCACAATTAATGAAATTCTACATTAACAAATAAAGCAGCTGCAAGGCTAATCATCAACTATATCATTTGGTGAGATATCTGAAAAAGATCGCTAATATAAAATTGATATGAGCAAACATTTACTTTTGGCGTTCTAGAACTTTTGATTTTAACTTACATGTGTACAAATATGATGTTTATTTAAAGAAATACAGTAAAATATTGACAAAAAGACATTTGTGATATCTTCTATCAAGTAAGAATTTAATGAATGTTGAATCTCAAATATCATCTCGGAATATGTGTATGCTAGTAAATCAGTATGTAAGGAGTAAGGGGATATTGTGTTGACCAACAAGGCTAAATTTCAACACATTGCGATATCGATATCATAGACACTGTTTGCAATTTTTTCCATTATGGATATATGTTTAAATCTATATGTCATACATACTTATATATTTATTGTCTTTAAATCTGTATATATGTTCAGTGGTGCAAAGATGCCTTGCTTGAAAATTTGGCAATCTCCCCATATTGAGCGTATTTAAAAACCTACACTACTGGCACACTACAATGACACTTCGCTACTTCATTAATAAGTCTCGTGTTGCTGACAGGTAATAGCTATATGTGGATGTATTTTACTTATGGAATACAATTATCATCCAATAAATCCAATATTGACAAAGTGACGTTGTTATACCCGTCGATTTTGATATTCAACCGTTGTCTTTTAACCGTTGAGAATCGGATATAAATATTTGTTATATGTACATATATGAAAGGATTCACGTTTGTGAATAGAATGGAAGACGAAAGCTTGAACTTACATATTATTTATTGACTACTATGTACAGAGATAATTACATATAACAAGGTTTGTTATATCTCAAACGCGGACGTATCCTCCCATACTTACTGTTATACTGGCGGAGAAATGTGACATGATTAGAACGCTTTTAGCCACACCTAATATAAGTGACCGGATAAGATACGTCTTAAGTTGATGCGAACTCGAAATAGATACGGCAATAAATGTATTTAACATATAAGCCTGTCTTTTAGCTAATATTATGAGTATAAGATTTTCATCATTCTTGTTTTCATATTTATTGTGAAAAAATATGGAACAGACATCTTAATTGGCCATCAAGAGTACTGGTTCTAGTACAAATAACCAAACAACCAATATAGTTCTCTATCGGAGTGTGAACGTTGAACGGTCTCCTGCCGGTAGGGCATTCCCTAGATTTTTCTTTGAAGCTATGTATTTTTCCTATTTGGACTCTCTCCTTCTCCCTAAGTGGATTTGGAACCCACTCTAAATTTGAAGATTAACATATTTAATTCCTGACTTTCCTATTTGAACTAAAATTGACAAAGTTTGTCTAATCAAAAGAACTCTATTAAGCGATGAAAAACTTGTTTTGATGTACATGGACACTTAACTAACTGAATATCACATCAGTCTGAACAATTCAGCATAGTATTGTTTACATTTGAGCGTAATGATGCATCTATACAAGAAGAAAACCAAGAACAATTGCTCGCTATATTGGTATAATTATACAAAACCTTCATATTAACAGGGTAGTGACATTTTTATATTCTGTAAATCTGTAACAATGTAACACGAACATGCTAACATCACAAAAAGATGCCGATATTTCACCCCAAAAACATCCCCACTTATTACTGTTAAAAGTCGCTAGGAAATGAATGAATTCACGACATGTGAAATAAACACCGTTATTCTTTGATCTGATATGATGTATTTCAACATTTTTCTAGATTGAGTGTAAGATGAAATCAATACAATTTGAAGTTGTACGTTTGTAATTCATCGTTTCTGTTATATCATGCATATTTCAATAAGTCGACATAATCTGCTTCAGTTATGCCTTAGTTTTTCATTAGTATGTAATGCCGGTAGACAATCAGGAACTTGGTGGAAATGTCTCAAACGTCAGATCGTTTTCCAGGAAATTTGCTTATTGAAATAACAGATGTTCAATTCACAGACTGTCTTATTGTGTTATAGAGAGGTGAGCGCGAGTAAGCATTCATCCACACCTGTCGTATTGACAGGAGAATAACACCAGCATCATCCGCAATCCTATTAGAACGGCGGCCTGTCCCATATATTGGCATGTCTGTCACTCCCGACACATTTATAATGTTTGCAAGGAAGCCTCGACACAAGTCACTGAACTTTCTCCCGTAGACGTTATTTATCAGTTGTGTATCAGATCATCGTCTGCCCTGTATCCTAGACAGTCAATTAGAGGAGGTCATCTGCCAACTTATGTTATTGTCGCTACCACTATGACTGCTAGCACCAGTCATTCACTTATACAGCTGATATGCCCATTTCCATTATATGCTCGACTGATTGACTTCGTAACTGATTGAAGCTATTGCTTGAGATATAAGGCTTGCAGTGCTTTATTATCACATACAGTCACTAATAAATAATTTATTGCATGATGCTGTTGTCCTTAATATGATCTGGCTTGGCGCTGTACGTATGATTCCAGGAACAGACTTGACCTATCCGTACTGCAGTCTACAGAGGCATTCCCAGTAGTACATACCACCGATGGTCTTTGACTGGCCGCTATAAATCCCATTGTTCTGTACCTTCTATGGTATTCCCGAGTGGTCTGAAAGTAGAAGACAAGAACATCATTATCCCATTGATCCACAAGATTACGATACTGTCTTGTACTCAAATGAAAAAAAGACAAAACTAAATATTTATATTGGCGATGAGTCAACTTCAGTGATACACTTTTAATTTTTCTAAAAACAATATAGGTTTCCCCACTTCTGACTCATAAGATAAACCTACTAGGAGTAAGTGGCTATTTTTGGGTAACACTCAATATACATAATTGCGTCGGTCAATCTTCTAATTATGACGTCAAGTAACAATGCTATGCTACGTCATCTTCAATTGTGAAAATATGGTTATTGGCAATTGTTTCCCAGCTCAGATACAGGAATACTGTATTCCCGAGAGAAACATATGGTTTTCTAGATATAATATAAACGTTGCGGGAGTAAAGATCCCAAAACTCGTGATGGTTGATGACAATGCTTATCTCACTCTCGTTAGTTAATTTTTTGTTTTAGTAAATTGTAAAAGAAACTGACTCAACATCGTGATTTTATATTTATACAGATCATCAGGAGTGTTGGTACCTCTTTATAATAGATATAGAATATAGATTGTTTCATAATTTTGGAACCAACTGTAATTATAGAATTACTAACAATTAATGAATATTATTAGTTGATCACCCGGCTATGGCTTATTATATTAAAATTTCAGCCAGTATATATAAAGGCACGCACCGTGAATATAAAAGCAGCTTTAAGGGTGATAACAGGTTTGCCCTTTACAAGTAGTAATGTTAGTTTAACCTCTTTGTATAATGTTTTCACAGGTAATATGGCTTGGTATAGCTTGTTTATGTTTCACATTACTGAAGCAGTGCAAGGTAGATCACATGTAACGATTCGAATCTTAAACGTGTGTATTTAACAAATATTTTTTTGGACATGAAATGTAGTTTAGAGACATAAATTTAAGTAAATTTTATTTTTGAATTACTAGCATTTGTAGTTGTTTAATGATAAAAGTGAAAGTATGATGAGTTATATCCCTTGGGCTTGTTATAGTTTATATTGTTTATATAGCTTTGGTTCCGCAGAATGCTATTTGTTTTATTTATATGGAAAAAATGAATTCGTAGAACAGGAATGTATCCGGCACACATAAAATGTCACCCAGCATGATCAAACTCCATATTCGTGATATTTGTGATATACGTTTGTCATTTGTGTGTATTTTCATTACATTAACTTGCATATTTTCATTGGTGAAATCAAAGAAGTTAAATGGCTTCAATGGAAATTAGGTTATTAAAGTGTAATTGATGTGTGCATGCAATCACGCTAGAAAATACAAAAACAATGATTGTATTTATAAAGCAACACTTGGGTGCACTCAAAAATACTTTTAAACACGCCGTAAGGACTTATGCTTGTTTGCATGTAGCAACACTACAGAATCTAACCATCAAAGATATAATCACAACGATCTATGGCTATAGATATTGAAATGAAACATGTTTTTTATCAGCGAAATCAAACGTTTCAATTACAATTCAGATAACATGATTAAACGGTAAAACACACTATATACTAATTAAACGTTCTCGACTTGCTACGTTTCAAAGTTAAGAATATTTGAATTAAATTGAGTGCGATTGTACTTTGACTCAGATCCGTTATGTATAGATGCGTTCGTAACACACAAACGTGGTGCCCGAGAAACAAGTTTGATTATCAGGTTGACGTATTTTTATTATTTTTATCATTTTTCTTTTGTATTTGGTTGTAAAACGATTCTTACTGATATCAAATTTTTAGAAATGTGATATATAATACATATTTTTGAGCTGTCAGTATTGTTTTTTATATGTATACACAATCTTGCATGTTTCTTAGCAAGGAACGGCGTTCTTAACCCGGATAGTAGTTAAGCCAATTTAGTATTTAATAGAAAACGAATACATTTTATTTTTATATTTTCTATACCCGACAATGACACCAAAAAAAAGAGGAAAAACAACAACAACAGGAACCGAGAAGTCACCGAAACAATAAAAAAAGACAACAACAGGAAAAAAGGAAACGCAAAATCAAAAGGAAAGACAACAAAAGGGACCAAGGAGACACCAAAACAAAAGGAAAGACAACAACAGGCACTGAAGAGACACCAAAACAAAAGGAAAGACAACAAAAGGGACCAAGGAGACACCGAAACAAAAGAAAAAGACAACAAAAGGGACCAAGGAGACACCAAAACAAAAGGAGAGACAACAAAAGGGACCAAGGAGACTCCAAAACAAAAGGAAAGACAACAACAGGCACTGAAGAGACACCAAAACAAAAGGAAAGACAACAAAAGGGACCAAGGAGACACCAAAACAAAAGGAAAGACAACTACAGGCACTGAAGAGACACCAAAACAAAAGGAAAGACAACAACAGGAACCGAGGAAACGCAAAATCAAAAGGAGAGACAACAAAAGGGACCAAGGAGACACCAAAACAAAAGGAAAGACAACAACAGGCACTGAAGAGACACCAAAACAAAAGGAAAGACAACAAGAACCGTTAAAAGGAACCGCTGACCCACCAGAGCAGAAGAGAAGACAACATCAGGAACTGCAAAGTCATCATGGTTTCCCATGAGAAACTACAGACAAAAAGGGTCACAAACTAGCAAACAGAAAACAGGATAACAGCAATGTTTATATGGTTTTGAATGTAATCTTCAATATCGCCGCTTTTAATCAAATTTATCTCATAACCTTTTGAGATCGACCTTAAGGTGTACATGGTACTAAAAACCAACTTTTTTGTAGATTAAGAATTTGTCTATTAAAAAGAAAATATGATTTAGTTAGCTTGTTAGGTTCCGGTGTTTCGTACGGGATCATTTACACAGTAAAACATTAGGTTGATTTATACGTGTTCTCTATGGTGCCGTATTCCGCCCTCAGCGGGGGTCCGGACCGAAGTAATCACCTAATCAATATATGACTCCTGTATTATTCAGAACCTTTGTTGAACACATTATCTCACCTATATATATTTATATATATATACACACACATATATATATATATATATATATACATATATCCACTGTGTTGTAGCATTTTCAGTCGATAAAACATTCCGCTATTTCTAAACACTGCCTTGCCATTTTTATATAACCAAGATAAAACCAGATTGTATCTGAGATTGTGGTAATAAGTTAAAAGTGCCCTACACATACGGGAAAGGTTAAGTAGAGTGCCCATCATCATTACCGCTGATTCTGGTAGGAGATTCACAGACTTATAAAAGTAATGCCAAACTATCCTGTAAGTTTTACCTTCGTTACATATTTTTATGATATTAGCAATAACAACATTTACGGTTGTTAAATAATGCACCTAAAATAACAGTATAACTAAAGGAGCTGGGTAAACTACAAAACAAAAGGAAAGACATACTATGACCTTCATGTTGTGACATCACATTTTGTTCAATAATGACGTCATAGAATATTAAATGTGACGTAATGTAATTCGAGTCTCGCCGGTAGAGTAGCTCTAACAATAAAAGTAAAAATATATTTACAAAAATAAAATAAAACCGGATGCATTTTCGGATATGGTATAAAATGTATCTTGAACTGCTTTTCATTTCATAAGATATTTATTAGTGTCGTTACGGGGATGAGAAACGTCTAGACTCGTTTTATAAATATCCTACACTAAAAATTGGCCCGTACGCGGGACTGATAAGGTTGTGATTGTACAACAATAGCTTACTGGACTTGAGATAAGAAGTATGTACAGCTCGTGAGCCAGAGTCACGATGGCGTTTGTCATTATAATTTAATATCTCGATATCTCCAGTGTTATGATACATGTAACACGCATGCGTATTCAGTAGAAATTGATGTATTGTGTATAAACAGGTGCATACAAAACATTGGTGGTAAATTATAGGTTCGTGTATACCGCTTTATCACAATCTGATTGTAGGTCCTCTCAAAGCGGTTCACAGGTTATTATCCGTGGTTATGGGGCCTTTGCAACAAGCCAATATCTTTCTCATCTCCCTGGTGATCATACAGAAGGTGCTGCCATTTCGGCACTCACAGCTAGCATTCAACAATTCTAGCACTGCCCAACCACGTACTCATTTACAGCTGAGTAGACTGGAACAAGCGGAGTAAAGTATCTTGCTCAAATATACAACACAATGCCTTGACGTGACTCGAACCCGCAACCCTTCCGTCACGAGCCCGGCATCCTACCACTAGACTACCGTACCTCCTACCGTGGTAGGGTTACATGGAACTGCCTTTGAATCAGTTGAACTGCTTTTTAAGAATGTCCATATATCCGGTTTTGGAACATATATTGAGAGAACATTTAAAAGATATTGGAAACATTAACCCTTTATTAAATACATTAATGGAGATTGAAGCTTCCTCATGTTAGTAACTTTATATCAAGAAAGATATGCTTAACAGTAACACAAATGGAAGGGGAACAATGTATTCTGGAAGTGTAGAGGTTGCTGCCAACACATGTGGTACTCATTATTGTATTTTCCGCCCAAACTAGAAAAGTTTATCTAAACCATATAAATACTTCCAAAACCCACAGGATAGTTATGGTTTAGACCAAAAATATATGCATTTTCATGGTACGAAAGTTATAATATCAATATTCTATTGACCCTTGTGAGGATTGACAATATCTCACAGCAAATTAAAAACATGTCAGACTATTGAACAGAATGAATTAAAATATCGGTGAACTGTTTGTTTAGTCTGTACCTCAGTGTTCTGGATAATCACTAAATCAACTGCCATTAGCGCATTTGAATAACTCCATGGCGAATCATGTTTACCATAGCCATACACACTACGTGCAGTATAATTAAATCAATTTCTGTAATGTTCCGACCTGTTTAGGTAAACAATCATATCTAAAATGCAAACCTAAAAAAATGGTGGTACTTTACATGTTGTCATTATACATTCTCCCTTTCAGGTGTTGCTAGATTTCACTCTCTCTACCTGTGGG